TCTCTCTCTCTCTCTCTCTCTCTCTCTCTCTCTCTCTCTCTCTCTCTCTCTCACGACTTCAACTGTTTTCCCCTTTTATTTTTTTTCGTTTGTGTATTTCATTTTGTTTTTCTTCTTTCTTTTTTGATCGTGTGTCGTCCCTACAGAAGCGGGGCCCGGCCTTGGCGCTACGACCGGGCCTTCCCTTGGCCGACCAGCCTGAGGCTGCAGCGCGTATACGGGAAGGCCCGCGGCCGAACACTGAGCGAGGTACTGGTGGTTTAACCACTACAGCCAGGACACGGTGTTCAAAAGTGGAATCGTACCGGTCGTGATATCCACCCCACCCCTGCAAGGCTGTAGTGTCCAACTCAACACACACCACACGCAACACCCACGGACACGGCAATTCTCGTACACTTCGCTTTGTAGTTAGCATGTAACCCCCGCTGGTACTCTTACCCGCTCACACAGACGGGACTTATCAATGCCCGACGGTTCACGGGCGCTTCCACAGTAGTATGGATTCCGTACATTTGAGCCTAAGTCCTCCTCCGTGCAAGCACAAATTCGAACCGGCGACTTCAGCCTCAAGAGCCAAGTCTCTTAACCACTATAGCCAGGACGCGGTGTTCAAAAGTGGAATCATACCGGCCTGAAGTTCTTCTCCCACCGTCTTCACGAGCGTTGGGCATCGAGTGTCACAGTACCTTTTTCATGGGCATAGGGCCTCGCCGAAAAAGCAAGGAAAACGGTAGCACGACTAGAGATTCAGTCCCTTTGCCCCTAAAGAGTCTAGATACAAACACATAGCCATGGTTTTGAAATCCCCGTGAGGATACTGAAATGGCCTAGCTGAGTTGTTTAGACACACTATGGGAGCAGACACCCTTACAAAGGTATCTGCTAAGGGTTTTCAATGTCCGACCCTGTCTGACCTTTTCTTTGAATTAAAGTTCATTTAGACTAACCCGTGACAGAAAAAAACATGGAAAAAAAAAAAAAAATGAATCTAAATGCGAGCGCGGCATTCAAAAATGACGACGGGAACCGGCGATATGATCGACCTTTCCCCGTGTTTGGTAAGGCCGCCTGGATGTTCAGCCCTAGACCTATCGTATTTCCAGTAATGATGCGCAGCCGCGCGATTCAGGGTTTCAATGGCCAAAAATAATAACCTCATCGGGTTTGCGGTAGCGCACGGAAGGGTGAGTCTCAATTTTTTAAAACCACTACCGTCTTCCCCCGAACATAAAGCATATGAGTTATAAACGAGAGAAGCTTTTCATGTTGGTGAAGGTTACCCAAGGGGTGAAAAGTGAGGGTACCTATTAACCATTTGTGTTCAAGTTGTAAACGAATACAATGCATATCATGCGGTGTATTCGTTTACAACGCATATGCGTTATGTTCGAGTGAACAAGACCAACTTTGCTTGCACAAGGGTGTCGGGTCCAGGCCGAGTAGGCTCAGTTCTAGACCACGGTCGGGGGCCTCAAAGCCTTGACAAAAAGGTAAAAGTAAAGTAGCGACGTACCTTTCCATGTTCAGGGTTGAGTTTCATTCCTTTCCCCTACTTGGGCCCTTGCTCCACTCCTCAGCAAATATGAAAAATGTGAACGAATCTTCCGCTACAACATGGACAAATATAACCCCTTTCTTTTTTATCTTGGTGACCACGGTAGTTCAGCGAGACCTTGGTAAGTGACTTTCTTATTTTTCCGCTTTCTTGGCTGCGCCACTTTCTTGGCTGTCAGAAACGCCTTTGCTAACGGAGAGACGGAGAGAGAGAGAGAGAGAGAGAGAGAGAGAGAGAGAGAGAGAGAGAGAGAGAGAGAGAGAGAGAGAGAGAGAGAGAGAGAGAGAGAGA